TCAATTTTCTGTCTAAGCTACCTTTCAGGTATCTTAACAAATGTTTAACTGTTGTCCAATCCTCAACTTTTGGACAATTTGTCTTTCTGCTAAGCACACCAACTACAAACGCAATGTCAGGCCTCGAGTTATTAGCTATAAACATCAGACTCCCAATAAGACTCTGATACAACTCTGGATTTTCAAACTCTCTAGTACCTTCATCACTGACATATCCAACTGACATAGGACTTTTGGCTACTTTTGCATCCTGCAATCCACACTTCTCTATCAGGTTTTCAATCTTTCTCTGTTGACTCAATAAACAACTTCCATCCTCAGTCCATTGCACTTCAATTCCAAGATAGAATCTGAGAGGACCTAGATCTTTCACAACAAACTTCTTTGACAATTCCTTCCTTACTGTCTGAATCTCCTGTTTAGACTTAGCTGCCACACACAAATCATCTACATAAAGCACCAATGTAACATCTCCCTTTGTGTAAACACACGCGTCAGCAATGCTGCGTTTGTAACCATGCTTCACAAGCTCATCATGAATGCAAAGATTTCAACTTCTAGCACTCTGTTTCAAACCATATAAAGCCTTTTTCAACTTGTACACCTTTTTTGTCACTGTCTTGCTGAAACCCCAAAGGCTGTTCCATGAACACAGTTTCCTCAAGACAAGCATTTAAGTATGCAGTCTCAAAATCAAAATGCTGCACCAACTGACCCCTCCTTGCTGTTAAAGCCAAAACCAATCGCAGGCTCTCAGGCTTTGCTATTGGAGAAAATATCTTACCAAAATTTTCAAACCTCTGTTGTGCAAAACCCTTTGCTACCAACCTAGCTTTGTATCTCTGACTACCATCAGGCATCATTTTCTTCTTGTACACCCATTTTCAGCCAATCACCTTGTAATTTGTAGGCCTATCAACAATTTCAAGTACCTCTTTATCTGTCAAAGACTTGTACTCCTGCTCCATAGCAGACACCCATTTCAACCTTTCCTCATCAGAACAATTCTGCACATCTTTGTAACTTTCTGGTTCATCAACCACAACTGTGCAAGCTCTAGCTTCCTGCACTACAGCTCTAGCTTCCTGCACTGGTTTTCGGACCCTTTGAGATGAAAACTTTTGTTCTACCTTCCTCATCTTCAATGTCAGAACTTGTGTGAGGATCCCTATCCCTGTGTCTCTTAGTTTCAGACATCCTGGATGTCATTGGTCGGACTACCCTTTGGGTTTGGTCAATCAGTTACTAATCCACCTAACAGTTGCATTGTCTACCCCACATTTTACTCTCTTGTTTGCAAGAATATTGTGGGGGACCTTGTCAAAAGCCTTACTGAAATCAAGATATGCTATGTCTACCACATTCCTTTCATCTAGGAAATTATCATTGGTAATTTTATCAATTTTATATCTATAAAAAAAGAGATCAGATTAGTCTGGCATGACTTGTTTTTGAGAAACCCATGTTGACTTTTTGTGATCATGGCATTGCCTTGTAAATTTTGACAGACTCTCTGTTAATGAACTGTTTTAGAATCTTTCCCAGTATTGATGTCAAACTAACTGGCCGATAGTTGTTGGGATCCTCTTTTCTCCCCTTTTTGAAGACGGGGAGAATGTTTGCCCTCCTCCAGTCTGCTGGGACTTCTCCTGTTCT